TCAGCATCCCCAAGCTTAACTCCTACTCGTCCTCGAGTAGGGAAGTGATAAAAACAGATTTTTTTTTGATGTGGAATGCTGCCTAACATGTCATATCATATTTCTTTCTTTATAGCATGGACATTTGGACTTTTATATTGTTCAAAGCAATAGTCTAGTTTTGACATGATAATTTAAATACTCAGGCATATCAACAAGCAACCATGTATTTTAAAATATCAACACTAAAATAAGTTATCCCTAGCCCCAGTCGACTGGCCTGGAGTCGGCTGGTCCTTGCAGTAGAACCAGATCGACTGCCACCCTCGAACTGACTCAGGAAGGATCATGGCTGGGAAAGTACTCTTACTCCTCATCTGGTTCCCAAGACCCTCGCACATCTAAATCACTTGCGTTCTCTCGTCACTCGGGTTGGCCTTCTTGACCGACTGAGAATGGCAGGTGAATATGTGCTTGAAGAGCCCCCAATGTGGCCTACAGCCCAGGAAGCTCTCGCACATGGACACAAAAGTAGCAAGATACACGATAGTGTTCGAGGTGAAGTGGTGGAGTTGCGCCCCGAAGAAGTTCAAGAAACCTCGAAAGAAAGGGTGGGGAGGCAAGGAAAACCCGTGGTCGACGTGAGTAGCGAGGAGGACGTCATCACCCTCCTGTTGCTGCGGCTCGGTCTCGTTCCCCGGGAGTCGTGCCGATTCGTGGGGAATCAATCCCCCCTCGACCAGGTCGTCGATGTCATCCTGGCGGATCGTCGAGCGAATCCAGTCACCCTGGATCCAGCCCGGCGGCAAGCCGACCCTCGAAGAAGATCCACCTCGGCCGGACTTCTTCCCCTTCGCCTTCGTCGTCGCCTTCTTTGCACGCTCCAACGCCACCGTCTTCTCCTTCCCCATGGCAGTGGATCGAGTTCGATCGGAGCAACGACGCCGAGAGCAGAGGCAGATGCGATGGAGAAAACAGAGGAGGAAGGGGAAGAATGGGAACGCACTATGCGAAAACCCCCATCCGACGCCTTATACAAAGTCATTTCGGAGTGGCTGACTTGTGGGCCCAGGCGATCCGATAAAATCCCGCAACAGTCGCGCACGCGATACGTGGCAAAAAAGGTGGCGCGGTGATCGAGGTAGCCTGCCTAATCCGTCCCAATTACTATGGCCTCCTCCGCCTGGCGCACTTCCCAAAATTTGAATCCCGTGAAATCCGCAGACAACAGAACAACCCATTAGACGGAAGATTTTTCCCATATCAACACTCGAAGCTTAACAATAAAAGTTCACTCGACAAAACCAAGAATGGATCAAGGCGACTGAACAAGCAGTTGAAGTCATCATGAATATTCATTCGACCTCTGGACAAGACATTTCCGAAGCGCAAAAGCTGAATCGGAGAGGTTATCAACTCCTTCTCCACTCGAACCCTGAACCATTCGGGGGCTAATGATGAAGACATGTACCTAGGGTCGGGTCATAGGCCTGACCTAGACACCCTCCCCTAGGACGTCACCCTAAAACCAGAAGCATTCGAAGAGGAGTCATCATCCACTCGACCATGAGGACTTCCACTCGGAAGACTTGAAGTCACTCGACCGCGGAGACTGTCACTCGACCACCAGAAGGTCTAAGGTCGCTCTGGACTACAACAGTCGGACATCACCTCATAGCTTTAATGGTCATTATGTCTCTTTATTTACTAGCGTTACCAGTAACGTCTCCCCTTTAATGTACCTTAAACCCTTTGTAACATGGGCCGGCTGGGGTCCTGGCGCACTCTATATAAGCCACCCCCCTCCACAGGCACGGGGGTTCGCATCTTTTGTAAACTCACACACACATATAATCCAGTCAACCGCCTCAGGGCACCGAGACGTAGGGCTGTTACTTCTTTCGAGAAGGTCCTGAACTCGTAAAACTCATGTGTACAACTACTCCATAGCTAGGATCTTGCCTCCTCATACCTACCCCCCATTCTACTATCAGTCTTTGATCCACGACACCCTCTTCGAGTGATTTGAGTTTAAGATCCACCGAGAGAAAAATCAATAGCCCAAACTTAGACAGTGGTTGAGCATCACAATAGTTCCGAGTTAGAGTTCTTGTACTTATTACTCTTGAGAGCTGCGCACTCTCTAGACGGATAGGTGTCGGCTCGAGTGTTGAAGAGTTGTTATCTTCACCGAGCTTAGATCCGTTGTGATGCTTAACCCGAATCCTATGAAAGATGTGAGAGGAATCTCTTTATGCTTCAAATGATTACCTAGCAGCAGTAGACGTTATTCTTTGTGCTGTAGGAGATATCTTTCGAACTGAGGAGTTAGCATTACTTGCCCCGCAAGTAATGTTACCGTTGTTCTCAAAATCCGACCATTGGACTCATGTCGTTCGGCCATTGGCCATTTCCCTTCAGGGAAGGCTGCGGCTATAAATAGGCACCCCACTCCAGCGTTGTTCGTTGGCTGCTCCGCTTATGATTTCTGAGAAGATTGACTGAGCATCCCCTCTCCGAGTGATTTGATTTTAAGATCCACTGAGAGAAAAATCAAGAGCCCAAACTTAGACAGTGGTTGAGCATCACAATAGTTCTGAGTTAGATTTCTTGTACTTATTACTCTTGAGAGCTACACACTCTCTAGACAGATAGGTGTCGGCTCGAGTGTTGAAGAGTTGTTATATTCACCGAGCTAGATCTGCAGCAACCAAGAGTGATTGTGGTTAGCGAAGGTCGGCCGAAGGTTTGGATATCGCCAACAAGTATCTACCACGAGTGAAATAACTAGGGTCTGATCAACTCTGAGAAGGAGAATAGGACGAAGAGAGTTTATCTTCCGTGTTAAATCACAACCCCTCCAACCAGAGATAGTCCTTTGGTAGAAGGGCGAACTGGTCTACCAAATCTCACCGTCGCCATTGAGCACCACTGGTTCAATTTACTTCACTGCATTACTTTTAGCAGTTTACATTCGTGCTCTGTGACGATAGTTTATCTGATCATTCATTCTCTGTTCCATATCATTCGAGTCTATTCCTTTTGTCATTCCCATCAGTTATCTTTCGTTACCCACATTGTTGCTCTATTATCATTTTGTTATGCTGCCTTAGTCCTTGTCTTCACTCTGTGTTGTGATCATTTACCTCATCTTAACTATCTCTCGAAGTTATCTATAGCAATTCTTTTCTAGCACCCTGTCATGACATTGTATATGTTTGCATATTGCATTATCATTGTTATCATCAAGCTTGCTGTATCCTATGCTCAAACCATTACTACATCCTACATCGATAGTTTTGATCCTCAATAGTATGCTTGGTTGAGTTCGTTTCTACCGAACCTTATTTCCACTGTTGTGTTTGGGATCAGTTCAAAACATTCACAATAATTTTTGAATCTCCCATTCACCCCCCTAGTCGATATACTCTCGGTCCTAACAAGTTAGCCCACAATTCATGGGTCGAGCTTATGGCCCACCAATCTCACAAGGAAGGACTCCGGAAGCCTCGAACCTATGCGTGATCAAGACGGACTCTGCCGAAGACTTAGTGCGTACTTCAAGGACTACTCCACGTATCGGCATGTTTATCCCTAGTCGGCAACTGGCCATGTGTAACCCTAGCTACCTCCGGTGTCTATATAAGTCGGAGGGTTTAGTCCATAGAGTCATAATCACAATTATCAGCCTTAGGGTTTAGAACACAATCATACGATCTCGAGGTAGATTAACCTGTACTCGATACTCCATCGTCAACATAACCAAAGCAGGACATAGGGTTTTGCCTCTTCGAGAGGGCCCGGACCTGGGTAAACATCGTGCCGTTTTGTCTCATGTTCACCATCATTCCTAGATCCACACTTCGGGACCCCCTACCCGAGATCTGTCGGTTTTAGTACAAACAATAGGTATCTACCACGAGATTGTTATGTATGATTCTAATGATCTGGAATATATCTACCAACTAGCCTGGCCTCGGCTTATATAATGTACCGAAGGCCTAGGATAACATGAGTCCTAGTCGGATATGTCGATGGAGAGGAGTCTTCGGCTTGTGTGTCAAGTCTTGTGGAATCTCCCTTGTATACGCCATGGGCTGCCCGAAGAAGCCCATTAGTGAACAACCATGGGGTCCTCGGGCCTACCCGCCTGGTCGGGAGATGACGTGGTGAGTACCCCCTAGTTGAGGACACCGTCAAGCGAGAGCAGGAATGATACTCCAAGATAGTGAGGGCAACAACATCTTCTCTGCATGCCGCTCCATCTTACACTGCTCTGGCACTTTAGGCCGAGCTTCTTACATGCCAGGAGGGTCTGAACCTTGCTCTTTAATGGTTTACGCTGCCGGTGGACATTGAAATGGATTGCATGGATGCAATCAAGTTAATCAAATCACCTTCTCTCGATAGATCGCTGCACCATTAAGCAATGAAATCCCTTTTAAGCCGAAAAAAGAGAGTGCGACACCGCAATTATGTATTTTTTTCTATTTTTTGCATTTCCACCCTTCCCATTGAGATTGTTTTCAGTTCGACAAGTGGCAGCTACAAATGACCCCAATAATTTACTTTGCTCACCCGCAAAAAATATATAAAATAATTCACTTTCCTAACTCGCTCCCACAATACACTTGACAGTTCACGCTCGCATCAGCCGGGAGCCGGCCTGCCGGCCGGAACGGGTGCAAAGGCAGGCCACCAACGGGTAGACCTGCGCGAGTCTCCGTTCCCATCCCGGTCCCCCGGCCAGCCACTCGACGTCGATGGCACCGAACCCAGGGCAGGGACAGAGCTTAGCAAGTAGCAGTGGCGGAGAAAAGAGATGAGCTTCTCGGGACGGGGCGCCACCTCGCCCTCGCCTCACCACCGCCTCCCGATCCCTCCGGCCCCTCCGAGCCACAGCCCACCGGATAACGCTCCCCGCAACCCTCCAAAGCCCCCCACCGCTCTCGCGCCCCCACCCATAAACCCCCACTGCCCAGATCCCCCTCGTCGTCCCTCCCCGCCGCCGAGCCGCCGCCATGCATCCCGACGCCACCTCCCCCTCGCACCGCATCGCCCGCGTCGCCGCGCACCTCAACCCCACTCGCCCGCAGGTGCGCCCCTCGATTCCTCAGTCCCCACCGCGGCTGCTGCCTGCCTGCCGGTAGAGACCCGTGTCTGATGTGACCGATTCCTGTGCGTGCGCAGATGGAGGAGGGCGCGGCGCTGAGGCCCGCGGCGTGCCGCGCCAAGGGCGGCGCGCCGGGGTTCAAGGTGGCGGTGGTGGGCGCGGCCGGGGGGATCGGCCAGTCGCTGTCGCTGCTCATGAAGATGAACCCGCTCGTCTCCGTGCTCCACCTCTACGACGTCGTCAACACGCCCGGGGTCACCGCCGACGTCAGCCACATGGACACCAGCGCCGTGGTAACGCACCCGACCTACTATCTCTTGTCCTCCGTGATGAATCAGCTGCTAGCGACGGGTTTTATGCGCTAATCATAGTGATGTCGATCAGGAGGCTGCCGTTGTGAGCACGGATTGATTTGGTTGGTGGCTTGCCTCGTTGTTGTTAGCTTTCTAGCTGGTGTGTTCCGATGCTTTTGCAGCCACTTGTGGTGACATCTGATGGGGGATTCTTATTCTTAACCGCTCCGCACGCTCCCTACCTAAACTGTGACAGATTGGGGGTGTGATTGCTGGTTCAGCAGCCTGGAACTGTTAGATAATGACCTCTCAATCATGTGCAGTTTCTGCCTTTCTGGCGCACCAGCAATTTGACATCTCATACTTTACTGATTTCTTCTTGTGCAATCGGCCTAGTGGAGTTCCTAAAATATCCAAATCCTTGACAATAGCATGCCTTATATGGAAAAGAAGCACCGACTGTTTATTCTTCAGAAACTCCTTTTATTTGCTCCTTTAGTTCATGTATGGCAAATGATAGGCGCAGTTCAAGCTTTGTTATTGTCTTATTGACTATTCAGAGTCTGAAAGAAATGCCGGAAATCATTTTCACAAAAAATCTAAATTGGCTGCAAATTGAAAAGAAAAGAGAATGAAAAACAATCTCGTGTCTCTGAAGTTTTTGTATGCAGATAACATTTGCAGTCTAGTATTTTTTCAGACTGCTCAAATCAGTTAGAGATTTGTTCTGTCTTTGACCGTAGATACTGATGTGATAAATAACTGTGTTAGATATAACTTTCAGGTGCGTGGCTTCATTGGCCAACAACAGCTTGAGGCAGCACTTACAGGAATGGATCTTGTCATCATCCCTGCCGGCCTCCCAAGAAAACCAGGAATGACAAGGGATGATCTGTTCAACAAAAATGCTGGGATCGTTCGCTCGATCTGTGAAGGCGTTGCCAAGAGCTGTCCTAATGCTATTGTGAATTTGATCAGCAACCCTGTGAACTCAACCGTCCCCATTGCTGCGGAGGTTTTCAAGAGAGCTGGAACTTACTGTCCCAAGCGTCTCCTTGGAGTGACAACACTTGATGTAGCGAGGGCTAACACCTTTGTGGTATGCAACCTAAGGAAACTATCTTGAGTGTCATCTCTTAAATAGCTTTTACATGCTTGCATGCTCAAGTTCAACATCATCTCTTAAACAGCTTTTACATGCTTGCATGCTCAAGTTCAACATCATGTGCTCTACTAGCATTGCTTATGGCTCTTACTCATTCACTTCTCCTCTTTGTTGTTTTTTTCCAGGCGGAAGTCCTTGGAGTTGATCCGAGAGAAGTCAATGTTCCAGTTGTTGGCGGGCATGCAGGGGTCACTATATTACCCCTCCTGTCACAGGTATCTTATGTTGTTGTCATCAAATTGGGAATGTAATATTTCTCATTAAGAAAAAAATCTCTAGCTTGTATGAACATCAATTGCTAATTTGAAACCAACCTCTCCGCAGGTCAGCCCCCCATGCTCATTCACTCCAGATGAAATCAGCTATTTGACTAACCGCATACAGAACGGTGGTACAGAAGTTGTGGAGGTATGATGCTGTTCACATTTAGTAGGTTGAAGCCTTCCCTGTGGGTTCTTCATTTCAGTTTTTTTAATACTCTGACTATGCATTTCTGACTGATCATTAGATACTAGACAAACAGTTCCAATATTTGTTTTGTGGGGAAATATTATAGTCCCCATTTTTCTAATGGTCTCATACTTTTTTTAAAATGATATGCCTTGTGCCTGGTTTTCATTGAAAGCCGAGAACGGTGCATAAGTATATAGGTAGTTGCTGGGGTCCTCACGATTACAGTCCAGAGTTAACAAATGTCTCTGAGCAAAAACAATAGAAGGCCTAACAAATTTGGCCATCCAATCATACAGCTCAATGCTACCATGCTTATTAGACATTGGAAAGCAATGTCCTCATGTAGCCATGTGAGGTTCTAGTTTTCAAGTCCTACTATTAGCCGACAGATGAATTGATTTTAGTCGTACACACTTATTGTAGTATTGTATGCACAAAGTCCAGATAGCAACACCGCATCTCAGTTTGTTTTCTGAAGTAGAATCGCTTAAAGACTGACGTATTTTTAACTGGACTTAAAGTGTGACAGCGAACGGCCATTGTTGTGTTGTGGGGATTTAGCTGTAATTTCATCCTTGGCATAGTGATATTCTATGAGCTACCAGATGCATACCCTTATTTACGCCCTCTGTGAATTAGTGTTAGTAGTTTCTGGAGGATTTGACAGCTAATAGACCCAATCACCAGCACTGATAGTAGATTTTGATTGGATAGAGATATTTTAGGAGGTGTAATACAAACCCTATTAGGTAAGCATGAATGAAGTTTCTGTAGTACTCAAAGATGTAGTACTGCACACAGTTATATAGTTTCATATCCTTTTGGTTTTCTGTATCTGAAACTTCTACAGTTCCAGTTTCACCTTTTATTTTCTGTTCTCCACTTGAGTTTCACATCCCCTTTTCGCTTATGATTCAGGCAAAGGCTGGAGCAGGCTCTGCAACTTTGTCAATGGTAGGTTGTGCTGCCTACTTTGCATGGTTTGTACGTGAGTCAAGTTATACCCAACACTAACATATAATAAACCCCTCAGGCTTTTGCTGCTGCAAAATTCGCCGACGCGTGCCTGCGAGGAATGCGCGGAGATGCTGGCATCGTGGAGTGTTCATACGTCGCATCTGAGGTATCATTCTGTCACACCATATCCTTATACGTATCCTTGCCATCAGGAAATCTTATGATTTATTCCCATCTTGTCTTGCATTAGGTGACAGAGCTGCCGTTCTTCGCATCGAAGGTGAGGTTAGGTCGCGGTGGAGCCGAGGAGATTCTCCCTCTTGGGCCACTGAATGACTTTGAGAGGTACATCAGCTCTACTCAATTATAGTCGCTTCCATACAATCATCACAAGCGTCGGTCTTTCCCAAAGTGATCGCTTTGCCTGATGTCTCCTTGCAGAGCCGGCCTGGAGAAGGCGAAGAAGGAGCTGAGCGAGAGCATTCAGAAGGGCGTGTCCTTCATGAACAAGTGAGATCGTACGAATGGATCGCCCCCGACCTATACAGATATGCAAAGACTAAAGAGTGTGATATAGTGCTCCAATACCTGTAAAGCCACCACTGCATGTGCAAGACAGTACTAGTACTCCTTTAGCTGCACCGAGCCTTTTCCCCCGTCGTGGAATATAAATCATGTACTCGTACTAGACAAGAACATAAATGTATACTTTTGTGAATAGCTGGACCGAACATGTTTACAGCCTCAGGACATTGCATATCTGCTCGCTAGGAGTGGACGAGCAGCAAATTGCTTTTGGCTACTGGGCTCCATCAAGCCCAGATTTTTGAAAACTGCAAACGAAAATCAAAGTTAAAAAATAATAATAATCTGAAACGTACATATGCACTGTTCACTATAAAAGTCTATTTTTTGTGGAGCTCATATCAAAACATATTTCATCATGACAATTTACATTGATGTAGTATACATCCCTATACACTTGTGTATCTTTAAAAAAAAGACTAGAAAAAAATGCTTTTCATTTTCAAAATTTGAGCTCCATGGAGCTCGGGAGCAAGAGATCCGTTCTCTGGATGTGCCCGGTCCTTACTGAGTAAGCGTTCGCTGGTTAGGCAAACCATTTTAAATTCATGATAAAATATATAGTTGGAAATAAAGTGAAAGTAAAGTTCCACATTAAGTGGTTTCTAACGGTGATGGTACATTGAAATTATGTACTCCCTCCTATCCATATTAATAATTGCTGATTTAATATAAAAACAGTTAATATGGGTTAAGGTATCTGCCCGGTAGTTAAATATTTTTTAACTAATTATTTGATAGTCTGGGTCATGCATGGTAAGTAATTTAATGTGATTGAGTGGCGTACGAGATGTGCTATGAAATTGAGCAGCGTAATTCTATGTTATTTTACAAGGTGAGTTAGTTAAGATGGAGTTGATTAGGGGAGATGAGATATCACATTTAGGTGAGATCGTGAGATCAACCACAAAGATTTTTTTTCTTCATATTTTGACATTTTGAAAAAAATACAAAATTATTTGACAACACCCATGTGGGGGTATGTCTACAACTTTGAAAAAAATCAACTGAAAACTTGATGTACATTTAAAGATTCAAAAAAATAATTGAATGTGAATAGTGATAACTTTGGGTGAATAGTACTTTGCTACTATTCACATCCGATTTTATTTTTTTCTCTTTCTATTAATATAAGTTGAATTAGGAGCTGAAACTTTTTGACGTTGTGCATCAAACATTAATGTGTGTCTATAAAAAGTTTGAGAATGTTTGAATATGTATTTTTATTCTCAAAAAAATCGATCTCATAGATCTCGCCTAACATGTGATCTCACACAAGTCTCCCGAAGTTGACGTACTGCTGCAAAAGGTAAGTAAATTAATGTGATTGGGCAGCGTACTTGGAAGGCGGGGTCACATATGGTGTGGTGGGGAAACAATGGCTGGATGAAAAAAAAATCGATGGAGAGACTTGGTGGGAGAGGGGGAATTGGTCGACGGATAGTTCTGCCCGACATGAAAAGGAATGCTACTTATTTTTAAGTAGTATATAGAGATATGAACTATTCACGCCAAAGACATTTAGAACAAGATCAATGTTGAATATGTTTTAGTCATTTAAATTTCATTCTTTCAGTGCCATTTCAATCAACTAAAATATAAGTTACTTTTCTAGTTGAGTGATATAACTGAAATCTATGTTAAATAGTGTTTGCAAATGAGTGCATAATTGAAATATATGTGAAATGTTTTTTTGAAGTTGAGGGGAATAACATAAATTTGTGTAAATATTTTATAAAACTACATGTAAATGTTTTCTGAAATTGAGTATTGTAATTGAAACATATGTCAAATAAATTCCCAAAAATGTGGTAGTTTTTTTCAAAAATAGTGAAAAGGTTTAATTTTTTTTTTTGAAATAATGAACTAGTTGAAATCCCCTTTTTGAAATAATGAAAAGCTTCCAAAGATCAATCTTTTAAATAATAATATGATAATAGTTTAAAGTTGAGAGCACTTATTTTAAATAACACAAACATTTTAGACCGTTCTTTGAAAAAAAATAAACATATGACAAAGTTGAACACTTTTTCAAAGTAATGGAATAGTTGGAATCAATTTTTTCTTCAAATAATCATACAATTGAAAATCACATTTTTAAAGTAATAAAAGTTTCCTCATAGTACTATTTGAAATGATGAACATATATGAAATCATTTTTTTGGAATAATGATTATTTCATTAACATACTTTTCAGTAATAACTATCTCTAAAATTTCTTAAATATATATTTCATTTACATATATTTGTGTGACATCCCAATTGTCAATTTGGATGTTAATCATTAGGTCATCATATGCATCCATAATTCTTGCATTTTGAATTGGTTTTATTTGGACATTTTGATCCTAGAGGCCTTAAGCAACTCAAGGACCATTTGAGAGAGTTGGAGGTTTTCATAAAATTCCATTTTTGAATTTTTAAAATTAGTAAATTGGATCAAGTTGATTTTTATTTGAAATTATTTTCCCAATTATTTCAAAATAAATAAAATAATGAGAGAAGATAATATGACTTCTTTAAAACAGAGGAAATAATTGAAATTTAATTTTGAATAAAAATATATAATTTATTTGATTTTATTTGAGATTTTATTCGATTAAATTAGGAAAATTGGCATTTTAACCCTGAAAAATGTTCATGTTGTCCTAAATATTAGGAGAGGACCGTGAAAATTATTTTTGGGATTTTAGGATTTTTTTGGAATTTTTTTCTTTCGGCGGAATTTATTAAAAAAAACCGTCGGAGTCCGGCGCCGCCACGCGCCCCGCCTTGCCCCTTGCCCCAAGTCGGCCTCCTCCCTCCCTCTTAAATACCGCCGCCCGCCACCCCATCCTCCTCACCAAGCCGCTGTCGCAGCCCCGCATCCTGCCACTTAGCGCCGCCGCCGCCATTGCTGCCGCATGCCGCCCGCACTGCGCCCCGCGGCCGCATGACGCCCTTGCCGCCTCCCGCCGACGCCGGAGCCGTGCCGCGCCGACGCTCGCCGCCCCGCTCGCCGTAGTTTGCCGCCACCGCCGCCGTTCCCGATCTGTCGCCGGTTTTCGCTGAAAACCGCTGAACCGGTAAAAACCGATCCGGTTCTTTGGTTTTTCTCGGTTTTTATTTTAGATCGGTTTATTTTTTATTCGGTTACATTAAATAGCGAACGTTCACCCGATTCGTTTTATTAGCGAACGAATTCGTTCGTTAGTCTTTGTTAGCAGACGTTCATCCGTTACGTTTTTCTTTTTAGTTTTATTTTTCGGCCAGGGACCTATCCATAATTACTTCTATTACAGATTAGTCCCTGATCTTCAAACCCTCACTACTTTTCGCTCGTTTATCCAAATCCAGTGAAACTAACGCCAAAATCTTCGTCTTGTTCCCCTCTATCTAGATAATCCACTTGAACATGATTTTGGAAATTAAAAATTTGTTTTCAAGCAAATTTGAATATGAACTTCTTTTGATCATAGTTTGAGTTTCATAACTCTGATTCGATTGATTCTTTTTGCAAATCGAAGCTCTTCACTTGAACTTTCAGTTTGGATCTTTTATTTTGGGTTTTACCTTTGCATCTTATGATTGAGTGCTTATGTATGCTATTGTTTGTTCACCATAGAGTTTCTGGAGTGCGAGGCTTGCTACTACGAATCTTTAGGGTTTTCCGATCGTCAGCAAGGCAAGTAACACTTTGATCATATCCCTTTATTACCTAGTTTTTATGCATTAGTCTCAACCCTCAAACATTGCATGAGTAGGATTGATAACATGTGGGTATTGGAAAGTAGTTGATGAGGTAGGAACCTATTGTCTTATATTCAAACCATGGGTGTTACCACGTTATGATTGCACTACTTTGCTATGCTCGTAGACGTGAATTGGTTTGAGAGATTCATGAAAGATATGGGAGTTATTATTAAAAAAGGGCAACCTGGTGCATGTAGCTCCCGCTTGCGCAGGGTCCAGGGAAGGGTCCGACCACTTTGGGAGTTATTATTAACTAAGGAAAATTTAAGGTGGCTACTTTAACACACATCTGGGTGGATTGGTTGTGGACACCTGGGGATATACCAGTGTTGTCCTAAGAGATCCCGGGGAACCCGTGTGATCATCCTATGGTTCGCCACCCAGGCTCAAAGGGATCATGATGTTATTCATGCTAGAAACTTCCGTGTGCAGCCACAAGCCATTATGGGCTCTGGCATAGTTGAGTAAGTTGTGGGAATCCTTTTCATGATGGGCTAGCAGATGTAGGTGATTGTAGGTGTACCGGCCTATCTATTGGTTAAGGTGGCCTCTTCGAAAAGACTGTGTCTCGGTCATCTATTTCTCAAACATCATGCAGTGCGAGAAATACAACGGAGAAGATCGAGTCTTGTGGGGAAAAGTGCGCAAACCTCTGCAGAGTGTACAATCTAATCATGGTTAGCCGTGTCCCCGGTTATGGACATCTTGAGTATCTAGTACTTGAATTATTATGTTGATCTCATCACTTTACTTAATTAATTTGTCGGGTTATTAATTTTAATTTTGGGATTGAGTTGGGGTTACCTTCTCAATTATTTCAACAAACTTTGTAGATAAATAAAATATATTCCTTTGTTGTAGGGAAAAACTATGCAAATAATAACCACAGAGCTTCCACCAGCCATATATGCATGTAGTGATAGCTATTTTTTGTTCATTGTTCTATAGTGTTATCTTGTCAGCATATTCCATGTGCTGACCTACACGGCTGCAACATATTATGTTGCAGAATTTTCAGACGAAGAGTAAGGTGCGCTAGGTCATTGTCATGCACTTAGTATTGCCGTGGAGTTGGATGGACTCATTTATCTTCTATGCTTCCGCAGTTATCTTAATTTTAGATGGCCCTCGGCCATTTTATTGTAATATGTACTCTTTTTGAGACACTCGATATAATAAGTGTGTAATTGAACTCTGTTATAAATCCTCAAGTACTGTGTGTGTCAGCAATACCGATCCAGGGATGACACCTAAGCACAGAGACTTGACCGTACGAA